TAGAAGGAATGCTCCCTGGATTAGCTTCTGCGTTCAAAATAAGCTCAGGGCCGGACCAATGGAATCGCCGTCAACATCAGCCCAAGCTGTCCCTGCCGTGCTCCATTGCCGGAATCCATGGTCGTCTCCACCATCGCCGGACCTAGGGTCGGAACCCTAGGTCGGCACCTGCTCTGCTCCGATCTGTTCTCCTCGTCTCTATCCGTCTGGTATCTGCCTTTTTATAGATTTAGAAGTCAGCTTCCCTTCTTGAATTAGAACTCTATTTCCCCCTTGTTTGAGTTGGAGAAGGATCCTTCTTGCGCCAAGCACGAATTGATTCCCTTTTTATTTTACTTTCTTCATTATCTTTTTGTTGTTTCTCTTTGTTTACGTGAGTAACAAAAGCAACTAAAAGGATCAACTATTTGATTTGGCCCAATTAGTATTCTTTTTTCCATTTTGAACTCTATCATTTCACTGCTGTCTTCCTCAACTTTTTAGCCACCAAATTATATCTAAAAATATTCATGTAAAAGAAAATCATACCATGAGATATTTGTAGAATATAAAATGCTCAAAATCATGCATTTTATGTATAAAATGTAAACAATAGCCTAAAATGCTAAATAGAACAAAACAAGCTTATTTAAGTATAAAATGCATATTAATTGTCTTAAAAGTACTAAGAAATGAGAGAATAAAATATGACATTTTGTGACTTAACACCAGCCCGCTAGCCGGTTTGAACTAAAACCTGTATATGAAAAATTTTAGAGGCAACAAAAAAATATGTAAGATCGTTTCAAATAATGATTAATTCTATCTACTTACAAATTGGGAGAAAGACATTTAAATGAGACAAATTGGTTAATACACTAATTAAAAAATTGATGCTATATATACTTTCATTTCATTTGGGCTAAATTTTCATAATTTATGCTAAATTAACAACTTCACCCTTTGAAATATAAAACAAAAAATTTATATCCAAGCCAATTTTTAAGGTCGAAGTTGTCCATTTAGCCAAAAAAAAGAATTGATTTAACCAAAATAAGGGTAAATAATGTAACAACACCCCAAAAAAACAAAAATTGGAACCAAAGTTGTTACAATTGAAGAGCCTAATTTGGCCAATTCTTTTCTTTAATTCATTACTTTAGCACTCTCTTGAGCAAGAATCTGCTGGCCTTGCTAGACACAAAAATCCATGGAATAATCCCAACCTGCAACCCACAAAATAAATTTAAAATGTCTTAAACTTGGATCTCAAAATAAAACATACAATGATCGAACTCTCTTTGTCACTTAATCTTCATTAAAATCTCAAGTGTTTAGACTTAAGTATATAGTCAGCACTAGTCTAGAATTGAACTTGATTTTTTAAGTCTAGAGATTTAATGATATGTAAAGACATTTATTCTTTGAGAAAACAAAGTTTTTACTATTAAGCACCATTGTATTGTTGCTTGCTTGGCCTCCGGCTAACCAAGACAAAACTTTGCCTGCAATTGAAAAAAAGGAACATGTCAAAATGTATGATTTTTCAAAGGGATATCATTCTCAAATATCTATTCACTTTACTTTTCGATAACCCGTAAATATTAACATTAGGAACCCAAGTGTAAAACACTCGCATCTAATGAAAATATATATACCCGAACAAAAAGCGGGACCAAGCCCGACACCAAGAACCAAAAGACTAGTTACAAAAAACCAATTAAAAAACCAACACCAAACATGAAAATGAAGTTGTCTATCATATATTCAATTCATATATGTTGGGTCCGTACGTACTCTGATCTCAATCCTTCATTCTATAAGGTTAACTTAACAAGAAGAATATTGTAATAATTAAGAAGTCATTACCAAAAGGCTGTACAAGATGATTAGATATGGAACCTACAGGGACTCGCCAAAACCATAAAACCAGTGTAAGGTATGTGCAAGCCTGCATTAAGTACAATTAATTATTACTCCATAGTTTTGAGAGATATGAAAAATCATTACTAAAACAAGATTTTCATTTCTAAATTACATGCTAACTAATCATGGGATAGGTTGGATATATTTGATCTAATTATAAAGAAGGATAAGTTTTCTTTCATTATTAATTAAAAGGGAAGAAAAATCTTATCTTGGGATAGATAAAAAGAAAAAGAATTTTTTTTGTATAAAAATTATGATTTGAAGCATAGAGGGTCAAACTTGTCAAAAAACCAACTCAACTAAGAATTGTTTTTATATACTTTAACACGCCCTGTCACGTGTAGGCATTTTATTTTTGAGTCTTGCCCGTGAAATTTTGATTTTTTAAAACTAGGTAGTAATGAGTTTCGAACTTGTGACCTCTTGGTCATCAATGATCTGATATCGTGTTAAGAAATAAGTTCAACCAAAAGTTCAAACTTGTGATTGTGGCCCCACTGGACTCGGAATGGTTTTTATATACTCTAACAAAACTAACTAAGAGCAACTCCAACGCAAATGCTAAAAGTGGGCAGGTATAAAGCTATTTTAGACTGTATACAGTGCTTTACATGGTCTCTTTTTTACATGTGTTCCAAGTTCCAACCATATCAGCTTTTTTTGCATTTGCTTCAATTTTCTATGTACTATAGCTCTTGCAGAATAGACATCATGTATTTATAGAAGATGGGAAAGCAAAAGTAATTATTCCTCTACATTTTAAATGACCCATTGGAGTCCACTTTTCGCAACAGTATAATGTAAAACTTTTATATTTTGAACTATAGAGGCTCCTTTGGAGTTGCTCTAAAGACCCATTTGTTTAGCAATACCTTTAAAATTAGGAGGCCTTTTGCATACATATGAAATGACAAGCTTAACTCCTTAGTATGCATTTCAATGCCTGCACATTTTTAATGGAACCATTACCAACAATTCAATAAGCACTCCAAGTCAATGTTTGATTGTAATTAGTGAATAAAGAATGGATTTGGCAAGGGTAATTTTGGGTGAAATAAATAGTTAGATATAACATACTTTTTGCAAGTTCTTTTTCCTTGGCAGCTGCCATTCTTCTCATCTTTGCAGCATGTGCAAATGTTGAAGGCCTGTAATCAAATAAGCATTAATCACACAATTTTATTTTATATTTGATCGAAATTATTTCCAGTTCAATTTATTTTGGAATTAGTAAAGAATAAAAAATCAAATTTTATATATTTAAAATTTAAATCAACAGATTGACAAAATATATGAAAAAAGAAAATAAAATTTGATTATATAAAGAATAAAGTGAAAAATTATTTCAGGAGAGAAGAAGTACGAGTTTCTCACTGTGATAGGGCAGCAGCCTCTTTCAGGAGCCCCTTGATTTCCGCCTTTAGCCGTACATCGTCCGCAGACATGGTAGCTCTCTGGAAAAAAAGATCGAATCCAATCAATTTTACAGTCACGATATAATTCAAATGGATTAACAACTATCAAATAATTAAAAGAATATTCAAAAAATAAAGAAATAATGCCTAAGAATGTAAGATTGTGAAAAAAAAGAAAATTGAAAAACCTTCTTATTGACCTCCAGATATCGAGTGAGAAATTGAAATGCAGAAACCAAAAAGAAAATCAATGGAGCTGCCATTGATGTGTCCTTTTCTTGTACAAATCCTTCCATTTCTTTTTCTTCTTTTTTTTCTTAATAAATTCAGATTTTAATTTGCCCTTATTGCTACCATCTTTTGTATTTTTTAATTTTTTTGGTTGGAGACTTTGCAGGGAAAGTTTGTGATTTCTCCTTCAATGCCGCTTAACGCAGTATAAGGAATTGGAAAAATTGTTTATTCATTTGCAATTGAAAAAGTGAAAAAACATTTTAAAAACACTTCATTTACATTTCTCTCAAATGAATGATTCTTAAGAAGTGATTTGGAGGGGTGGGGTAGGAATATTAATTTTACGAAAGAAGTAACGTATGGTTTCAAAAAACTAATGACACTGTTGTCGAGTCACAATGAAATCAGCTTGTTTATTATGATGATAGAATTTTAACTTTTGGATATTCTACAATTAGTATAAGAAATTATTCATGATATATAGAACTAAAACATAAATATGGAGTATTGTTTTTTCTTCCATGTTTAATATAAATAACATGGAGTACAATATTATTGTGAAAATTGTTTTTTAATTAATTTACATGGCACTGAACACTGTTCTAAAAATTAGGGATAATTATTGATCTAAATAGACTTGAGAAATACATGAATATTTTAAATTTAAAAATAATAAATATACTATTCCTTCCGTGTCTAATTAAATGGCATGTACATAATTTGCATGATCTAGTTTTATTCTTTTTTACCTATGATGATGATGATGATGGTAATAATAATAATAATAATAATAATAATAATAATAATAATAATAATAATAATGTTAAGAATAATAACAACAACAATAAAAATTATAATGAGAATAATATCTAAAATATGCTTGAATAAATTTTAAAAGTTTCTTTTTTTCAAGTTTCTACCATTTTTTTCTATATTTTCTACTATTTGCTAGTTTCTTATGGGTCTTTCTAATTTTTCAGTTTCTTCTAGTTTCCTCCCGCATTCAACTTTTTTTTTCTAACCCTAAAGAACAAACTCTAAAATACATAGAGTTATTGTCCCATCGTAATTCGAGCTTCTGATCTCCCATATGAAAAAGTCACCATGATATTGTTGGAGATCAAGATATTTGGCTAAAATATTAAATATGTTCCCCTACTATTTCACATATCCAAATACTTTATTTTTTTTAATTTTTGTTTTTCCTATTTATTTAAGAGCGATATTTATATGGTCACATGATTCACATTTAAAATATAAATCTTCTCACATTTTTCATGAACATGTATATTGTTATTTTTTGTTTTGTAAAAGACCTATTTATTTTATTTTACAAGTATATTAAAGTCCAGAAAATAAACATAAACTTTAATGTTGTAAGGACTTACAAATAAATCAAATCCCCGCCAAAAGCCCGCGCTTGGAAATTCCCTTCTGGAACCTACAATTTATTCTTTCCTTTCTTCTCCCCTCTCAAACCCTTCAATTCATTCCAGTTTTTGAACTTCTCCCAAACGCCGAAATCCTCGCAAGTTCTCAAGGTGAAATCGATTCAACTCCGCCGCCGATTTTTAGATTTCTCGCAGGTTTCCGCCGGTCGCGGCCGATTCTCACCGGTTTCCATCGATTTTTCGGCAGGTTTAGCGATGAAGCGAGCCGAATCGAAAGCCAAGCCAGACAACAAGTGAGTTGAATTCGTTTTTTTGTTTGTTGGTCTCGATTGATTTCTAATGCGATTGCTGTTGAGATCTGCGATTTCGATTGCTGAAAACACACGATTTGCTGAGATCTGACTCAGTTCTGAGGAGAATTTTGACAGGCTCGCTGTGAGGAAAAGTGAAGCCGCGGAGAAGAAGAAAGCGAAGAAGGCTGCCAAGGATCCAAACAAGCCAAAGAGACCTCCAACCGCCTTCTTCATTTTCATGTACGCTTTTTGACTCGATTTCTCTATCAGATCAATACGCATTGCAGGCCTTTTCTCTCCGGAGAACAATCAATTATTGTCCATACTTGTTTTTTTGCTGGATTTTGTTTTTGTTTTTGTGATAGGGAGGAGTTTAGGAAGAGGTTCAAGGCCGATAATCCAAACAACAAATCTGTTGCAGCCGTTAGTGATTTATTACTGTTTGTTTTTTGAAAATTCAGAGAAGAGAAAAAACAGTTCAAATTTTGTAATGTGCATATTTGATTATTGAATTTTATTTACAGTATTTAAATTTATCAGGTTGGCAAAGCGGGAGGATTGGAGTGGAAGGAAATGTCTGATATGGTAAGTATTTGATTGTTTCTATGCAGATCATGCCGTGTTCAATTACATTTGGATGCTAAATTTTGGCATTATTATTATTATCATTATTGGCCCTGTCTGTTGTCAGCGTTTTGAAAAAAACTATTTGACGGTAGCCTTTAGAGTTTCCAGAGTTATTCCCAAACAAGGCCATTATCATCTTCATCATCCTAATTTGTTAGGAAAAATTTTCATACAAAGCTGAATCAGATAAAAGGAAGAGGGCATATGAGAATGCATATGCCATGAAAGCCTACAACCGCAAACAAGCGGATGCCGCTCCCGGCCAGGAAGAAGAAGAATCAGACAAGTCAAGGTCCGAAGTAAACGACCCCGAAGATGACCATAGCGGAAGTGTAAAGGTATATACATACATATATATATATATATATATATATATATATATATATATATATATACTTTTAACAGTACTTAAATTATGCTTTGGTCATATGAATTAATTTTCCCAATAAGCCATTGTTTCACTCTTGTTTGTGGACAGGGTTGGAGTGATGACGATTTTTAAATAGCTTCGCTTAAGTACCTATATTCTCTAAAGGAAAATGGGTAGTGTATACATTTCTAGACCCTTATGCTTACCTTTTGCTTTTGTCGTTAGTGTTACTCTATGACGGTATGGTTTCTAGTGAAATTTCTTATGCCGTACACCAAGTATTAGAAGTCCAAGTTATGGGGATTATAGTTAATTGTATCAGAAATTCAATTCTATAATGCCGAGCAGTACAATTCCTAGTCTGTTTAATATTGCAACCAGTTTGAATCTTGTCATATCGTTAACTTTTTGTGTTAATTCTAAGTAGTTTTTTCACGGTTTTAATTTACTCTATTATTATACATTAATTCTTTTTGTGTCTAATTTGTTGTATTATTATAGTATAGATGTATGCATAAAAGAGAAATACTTTGAATTATCACGCCGAAATAGGCACTATAAGTTCCACAAAATGAGCATGAAGTTACTAACCTTATGACCATATAAGATTTTAGAATTGTGTTGAAACCTGAAAGGTATGTTGGTTTTAATATTTTAATGGAATGTACTTGAAATGTAGGATTTGGGCAAGTATTTATTTACTACTTGAAATTGCTTGTTTTGAATTTGAAGTATATTTAAGGAATGAAAAAGATAGAGTTGACCTTTGAAAAATGCCCTTATTTTTTAGGAAGTCCCTTACTTTTTTTGGGGGGTAGCAACAAATGAGAAGATAAGATAAAGAGGAGTGACTTTTTTAGGGTTAATTTAAGTATTTCACCTTAAGTTTAATATAATAAGAAATATGCAACTTATTTTGGAATGGACCAAAAAGGAAGACAAGCAATTTAAAATGAGACGGAAAGAGTAATATGAAGGAGTAATAATGGTACTATGCCACCAATTTTGATAGGGAGTACTAAAGTTGACACCATCGAGTTATTTTTGTATAAATACTAATTGCGAATGATAAAAATTATTATATGTGAGATACTAGTAATATCATTATTGAGTTTATTCTAGCATAATCCTTCTAGGAGTAGTAGACACTATATGTTATAGGGTAGATATATACAGAAAATTATTACTCGGATCACACTCATAATTATTATTTATGTATGTTTGTAAAAAAAAACATGGCATCATACTATGGCATTAAAATTGATTCATATCAAATTTATGCAATTAATTTTAACCCCGTTTGGCATCAATGTTAGAAGTAATTGTTAGCGTCTTGAAAAGACTATGTCATAGTAGCTTTAGTGTTAGTATTCTTAGAATTAATTTACATCGTTAAGGTTTAGTCCAAAATGACAAAGCTACTTGGAAACATTGTTCTCAAACAAGGCTTTTGTAGGTGTACTATAATGATTTATTCCTTTTGTGTTTAATACTTCATTCGTTTCCATTGAGATTTTTTTTATTTTTGATTTTATTTTAAAATCAATTTATTTGAAAATTTTGGATAGAATTAATAAATAAAATTTACATTTTTAAAAATTATATCAAAATATTTAGAAAATAACATGTGATATGACTTCACAAAGTCATTTACTATTTGGGTTCTGAACTAAACTTTACTATTCATTAGCTCAAATTTTATACCTCTTTATTAATTTTTAATTAAAACACAATTGTTTATATAATTATGTCATAAAAATAAGAATGATAGATATATAATACTAATAAAAAATAAAGAAGGAATGCGTTAATTAAAATGTATGGTTAATCAAAGAATAATAATTTAAATATTGGGTTCCTCGAGTATGTTATTTTGTTTTGATATGAATGTAAGTGTGACTTGATCTAAGTCTTTTTGGCTTGTCTTTAGGTTTTTCTTTTTGGCTTGAACCTTTTTTCTGTTTTTGTCTAATGTAACGTGATTAATTAGATTCCAATTAAGATTGACATTAGATGCTCTGAAATATTTTAATTTTGATTGGATTTAAATATTTTTTTTATTTTATCTGGTTTAACTATAACAATTATCAATTGAAGTTTGTTTTCATTTTTAGTAACAATTACAGATCAGTACTATGTCTATTTTTTATTTGTCCACTGACATAAACAAAAATAGTGGACAAAGAATGAAAGAAGTACTAATTATTATAAACTCGAACAGGAATCCAATGCTATGCAGTATTTGGCTCTTGCTTGCGAACATAACATTATTGATAAAAACTCAAAAAAGTTGGAAAATAATAAAAATCCGACCTGCCGGATTCGAACCAGCGACCTAAGGATTGGCTGTCAGGTTAACGCCTACTACAGTCCTCCGCTCTACCAACTGAGCTAAGGTCGGTTGTGTTTCATATTTTTCTTTTCAAAAGTTAATACGTAAACGCCGCTATCTAACATCGGTTGAACAAATAAAGCAAAACATGGGGTGAGAGAGGCTCGAACTCTCGACCTCAGGATTTCTCTTTTAAGCTATGAGACCTACGCGCTAGCCAACTGCGCCACCACCCCGACATTGCTTTGATTAATTGATAGCTTTCCTTACATCTTCATTTTTTATACACAAAACAATATAAGTGTAAGACCCATCCGTGCCCCATAAGAGTATCCAATCAGCTTGGATCTATCATTCTATCTCAATACCCCTTTTCGAGGAGTTTCAAGATGTCGGCTCCGTAAAATACCTAATTTGTTCCAATTTTGGTTACCAAGCTCCAAACAAAGGCATTCAATCCAAACCATTACAATTGAAACAAAGTTATAATCATATGAATTTGAGAAACACCATCGCATTTTAGGGTTTTCGCTGTCGATTCTGTTTGGAGATTATTCTAGAAATAGACATCCCAAATTCAGTGGGTGAGACGACGGAGAAGAAAGGCAACGAACATTGTAGTAAGAGAAAGCGTCGTTATATGCTCGCCTGTGGAGGTGCTCCGACTCGAGTATGACGCCATCGCAGTCGAAGATCAGTGCGTCTAGAGCACGCGGCGAGGCCTATACAGAGAGTGGTTTTACTTGAGAACGCATTCGACGCATGGTAAACCAGATTCTTGTGTTTTATGGGAATATTATCATTGTGAGCATTTCATTAAGCATTAGTGTATTGTTCTTCAATATCATCATAATTAATACCACACCTTTTTTTCAAAAAAGAGTCTCTTTACTTGTAAGTATAGAACTAAGATATTAGATATGCATATTGCCTCTAATCTTGTTAACTTTATTGTTGTGGTTAGTTCTTTTAAGACATGAATATAACACACGAATCGGGTGTCATCGGGCTCTTGGAAGTATTCTTAATGCCGAGATATCCACGCCGAGGATGAATTTAAATGTGTCATCACAACACAATATAGACATCATCTCATATACGAGGCTCAGAGCTTGAAACCGAGGACCGATATAGATCTTCATCTGCAATGACATGGGGTATGCACCATGTCCCAAGAGGTGGCCCACTTTTCTTCCCACCTAATGGGTCGATAAAAACATCGGATTAGAATTCAATATAATTATAAAATCATTCGAAAAGGAACTAAGGATTTTCAAAAGAGAGGGCTTTGGACAATGGAGGAGCTATAAACCCCTCCAAACTCATGGGGTCTCACATAAAACCAAACACGTNTACTCTCCTTGCTTGAACCAAACAAGGGTAATATGGGTATATAGAGCAACAGTGAAGGCCATCAGAAGACAGATAGTTACCACATACCTTCTTTAGTAGCTTCTTCACATCTTTTCTGATACGTGACAGATAGTTCGGGATCTAGCGCTTTCAAAAGACTGTCATACTTCTCCTCTGCTTCTGTTATGTGTTTTGCCTGAGAACCCAACCAAGTTAAAAGACAATATAAGCAAACAACAAAAAACTATAGATAAAGAGATGATTTGAGTACACACAATGACATTAATAACAAGAAACAAAGCATATAAAAGCACACATTTATAAGCTGCATATTAAGGTAAAAATGGACCAGACTACAAACTAAGGACCAAAAGTTTACCCAACTACTCAAGTAAAGATTGGTAGAATGTGAGGCTTATTTAGAAGATGGAGGGAGTATATGCTTACCAGGATGGCTGGTGCAGCAGTAGCTCCATAGATTCTGACAAACATCCGTAATATATTGAAATTGTTGTCCAATACATCTTCCTGCAAAGATTAAGCAAAAATATTCTCATCTTACCAGGATATATTACCTTGACAAAATCAAGTGTACAAAAAATACTAAGAGAAGTAAAAGCAAAACAACTGACCTCGTAGTCAAACCTAGGAGGACATCAGCCACTCACTCATTAGAAAGGCCATTCAAATTGATGTTTTGCGACAGGCAGTTAAAATCAACAAATAAAGAAGCAATTATCAATATAGGAAAACATAAATCCATACCCATATCAAAGAGTGAGGGAAATGCTAGGAGCTTAAAGGTGTGCTTGGATCCTGGAATATTCTAGGGAAAGGGGGAAATAATAAAAAAAATAGGATTGCCTTATTGTGTTTGGCTTTCACTTGGAAAATGTAAAGCAGTAAAGGGAAAGGAGATATGATTAATTTTTTTAAAATGTTAAAATTCAAAAGTCCCTAGCAAGAAAATGGCAATACAACCAAGAACCAGACAAATGAGAGTTCCATAACATGCATCCAAAGATCATAAACATAAATATACTATTACATTATTTAAAATTAATAGAACAACTTAAACACACAGACCTGCCCCTTAGGGGAATACTTACAAATCATCAGATATCTCCACAAGGAACTCCGAAATTGATAAGAATTCCATATGCAACTCATTCACCTTGGAAACAGCTTCAAAAAAGACTCTCAATGAAATAAGTTATGCTTAGAAAAATACCCAATATCCCCCAAAAAAGGCATATCCACATATCACACGATGAGGAGCTAAGTTTTCATTTAATTAGCCAAAAAAATACACACATGTTCATTATGATAAATTTATAAAAGTAAAAGATAAAGTAGGATTTTTTGACACGCCAAAATTCAAAAGTTGTTCCTTGACCAAACATGACTTTTTTGTTTCTAGGATGAGGGGAGTATTCACTATACATTAATGACATACAATGGGTTTTGTGACCTTAGTTGGGTGAAGAATATACCTCTTCACCGCGGAGTTGATACAGTAGAAGATTCAGCACTCGGTAATCAAAGGACTTCAGTTGAATAGCCAACATCACATCCGTAACAGATATCTGTTGGGGGCACTTTTGATTAAAACCAAACATTCAAACAGATCTTGATTCAGTAAAACAGTTGAACAACATTCACATGCCTCCATTTTGCTTGCAAGGGCAAAGCATAGCTTGCTTTCAAGGGACCAGTATTCAATTCCGTTCCTAAATTCCTCATTTATCCTGGACACAGCAGCTCAAAAAAAACGGCAGGATTTCAGCTGATTTTCCCAGGGAGAAAGTGAAAATGGAACAGGAAATGGTCTAAAAGAAGATTGACCTATCTGTCAAAAGCCCTTGAAGATCAAGCACGTTAACCAGTGGTCTAAATGCATCAGATGTGATGCTGACAGGTTTAAGGGCCAAGCGATCAACTCCCTGCACTTCATTAGAATAAAGGGGGATTAGTTTTGCTCTTAAATTATTCTTAAAAGGAAAACACAAGTTGTTTGCATTACCCCACAAGGTTTATTGTATAAAATGGTATTCTCCCTCTTTGGTGGTTGCAGAAGTTTTTCATTTACTCTATCCAACTGCATTGCATGAGCTAACAGGTGTCAAATGAGAGTCGTGGTTTGCCAATCATTATGGCATTCACAGGGATACAGGTTTAGTGGTTTATTGGTCCTGACCTTAGCACATGTAGAGCAAGTTGATACTACAAACTACAAAAAGATGGACAATTGATGTTCAACTTTATAGGAAGTATAAGATTTCAGTGTCAAAACTTTATTTTTCTTTCTAATATAGAATTTCATCTTTTTAAATGGACAGTGTCGGACACTTGAAGTACTACAAATTGTTGAATGGATTTTCACATGCACTCTGACTAGAAAATGTGGTCCACTAAATGCTTATGTGCCATCCATGTTATCTAGTGAAACATAACATGTGCATTTAGTGAAGTGCCTTTTCACCAGTAGAGTACATCCCACAATCCATTCAGAAACTCATCCGGTCGAGGCACTATACTAGTATCAAGGTTTTAAAAGGCGAAAACGAGCCTCGAGGCGGTTAGGCAAAATGCCTTGAGGCGTAAGCCTCGAGGCGGAACGAGGCGTAAGCCTCAGTTCAACTTGGAAAAAAAACCATAATAAAAACTCTTTAGGTACAAAAAATAGAGGATCCATAATTATGTAAACTAAATCATAAAATCATACATAGGTTTTCATTTAAACAAAAAAAGGGTAAAATAAAAAGGAAATTAAATAATCCATATTCATGGTATTATTTTGAAATGGTATTATATAACACTAATATGTTTTAATTAAAGAAAACACAATACTTAAGTGTCACAAATCATTTAAAACTTAATTCTTAAAATAATAAAGTTGTAGGCATAGTAAAAAAAGTTTTGAATAAAAAAGTGAAGGAAGAATGGAGTAAATACAAACGGAGTATATGGAGTACGTAGTATTAAAAAAGTTCAATAAAAAGGAAAAAAGTACCTGGGTAAAGAAAATTGTGATAAGACCACAAGTGCAATAAGAAAACAGGGACTCAGGGAGTAGCCGTCCGAAAAAGAAAATAAAAACGAAATAGGGAGTAGAGCTCTGGGAGGTTCGTAAAAAGAAAGGGTGTAGAGCCGTTAAAAAAAAAGAAAAGAAATTACAGAGTCGGAACTCGGAAGTCTGATCGGGTAAAAACAGAGGCGCTTGACCTGTCGATCGAAATTCCGCTTGGTCAATTGCCGATCCCACGAAACAAGATCCAAACCGAGGCTACCGCCTCACAAACGCCTTATCGCCTCAACCGCCTTGGACGGCCTCAGAAAAACAAGGCGTACGCCTCAGAGATCCCACCTGGTGCGGACGCCTCTGAGGCTAGATCTGACCGCCTTACCGCCTCGAGGCGGACCGCCTTTTTCGCCTTTTAAAACCATGACTAGTATCTATTTTAAGAGTTGAGAAACTATATTAGGGGGAAACATGCTTAGACATTGAATTAAAGAAAAGTCCATGCACCTTTTTTTAAAAATAAATTCCTTACAAAAATGCATAATTGTTCACACAAACTGACTTTTTTACTTATAGGTGAAATATTGTGAATAGGACAATAGTATAGGCCAGGAAAGGAACATTGTGAAAATGAAAGAGAATCCAACTGTTCCTTGAAAATCAAGATTAACACTTGCATGTTTTTGTGGTGAAAAGAGAGACTTAAAGTGTTACACTGTATCAATATTATGCTTATAAAACAATGCAACCATAAGGAGCTCATTAACATATAGAGGTTTTCTTGTCAGAACAACAATTACCTGATAGATAAAACTTTCAGTAAATGAAAGAATTGGTAGGTATTTGAATATTGACTGAGGTTGGCGAGCATCAATTCCATGAAACATGAAGTATGACCTACACTGGTAAGTGCAAAACAGATTCAAAGTCCTTTGTTGCAACTACTCACTAGTTGTGAAGCTAATTGAATACTCTCGATCCAAGTTTGGAATATTGGTGATAAGACATTCAAGAGAGAAAAGGAGCTTCTGTGGGATAACTTATGCTATAAGTATTTTTTATAAGAACTGTGTTCTTGTTTATGCAATGAAAGTGCTATTGTTTTATATATATAAAAGTCCAGCTTGGTGCTTTTTTAAAGAAGATAAAAAAGAGCTTTTTTATAATTAAAATCACTTTCTTTGTTTCATTGCAAAGCACTTCTTTTTAACGCAAAAGTACTTTCCCTCCTATAAAATCACTTATACTTCAAAATTTAGTCATCCACAATGCAATCTAACTAATATCTAATGAAATATACAACGGAGTATAAGGTAGTGGCTGCTTACAAAGTCTTCTAAGGTAGAATTGGCATTTTGCATGGCATCCAGACCAATTAGAGCAACATCTTTAACACCCACGTGTTTCCTACCAATGCCCACCTTATCATCACAGCAAAGGGTGCCAGTATTTCGGATGTCTTCATTACCTGCCACGGAATAAGATTTTACTGTGGCCATTTCAAGTGAACATTTCACACTCTATAGCAGGGTGACATCTTTCAGTAAAAATCTCCCTCCTTTATGAAAAGAATGTAATTTTCTTACCCTTTTAAACTATAAAAGTCAGAGTAATCTACTCAATGTCTTTTATGTGCAAAACCTTTTCTGTTATATCCAACACTATGTAAAACTGCTGTCCATTAACTGCAGCAAAACCCGAAGTGCATCCTAAAAGTTCATGTGTGTGTGTGTGTGTGTGTGTCTACACATAAATGCTCCCTTATACTTCTACAACCCATGACCAATTACTAGCCCTATTGATTCACTTTTTACAATGCCAATTCCATCAACCGAAAAGTAATAAAATGAAATAAATTTCAATAGAAAAAGTGAGAACCATCTTCATTAATTGGCTTCTGAAATGAATTTGTCTCGGAGACGCATTTGGATGCTTCCTCAAAGAAATCCCGCGAGAACTGTGAAAAGGAACAACAAAAAATCTAAGTTTCTCTGTAACACTAAGGCTCCGTTTGGAACACGCAATTCAAACAATGAAATTGGAATTGAGGACAACAATTCCAATTCTACTGTTTGGTAGCACGAAAATATGTAGATATGGAATTGGTAGTGCCAAAAATGAGTTGAAATTGGAGAATTCAATTTCTATAGAGTTTTAACTCCCAATTCCATCAATTCCGTGTACCAAACAGACACTAACATACAATCATTGTATATACAAAAACAATTAATCAATAACCTAATGGAAATTGCAAACCTTGGGAAGGTGTTCGAGCACTAGCTGACATTTCGTCTCAATCTCCAGCTCGCAGCATTCTTCGACCTTATCCCCAGACGAATGTCAAAACCCTAGGAATTGTATTGCAAAGATAAGTGGAAGAAGGTATGAACAGATGAGAAAAAGGGCTACCAAGAAGAGGGCGAGATCGGCGAGAAAGCGAATGGAGGACAAATCGTGCTCGCCGGAAGAGCCGATGATTCCGAAAGATTGCATCGTTCCGATCATGCTCTGTAGCTTCTGTAGCTTCTTTAGCTCTTCCATGGCTTTCCTTTACAGTATGTTTGTTTGGGGTAGGAAGGTAGGGAGAGGTAGATTAAATTTTCTACCTTGTTTGGTAACAAAAATTGAAATAGGTAAAGAGAGGTAAGAGGGGGTAGGGGAGGTAGAGTTATCTCTGAACAGTGTATTTTGGATGAGAGCCAATTTGGCGAAACATCGAGGTAATCAACTATCCGCTACCCTTCACCCAATCGCACGAAAATCAATCGGCATCTTTCCATCGCCATCGCCATCTTCTTCCGGTTCCTATCGCCCAAGGTATTTTGATCGTCATCTTCTTCTGGTTCAATGTTCACTTTTTTTTCGATCTGCTCTGCTCCGCCATAAATTTCAATTCCGCTGCGTAGTTTTTTTTTTCTTCAATTTCGATCGCCATCTGCTCCTTCGCTGCTCAATTCAGATAAGCTTTACATACTCCGTACTTTTTTTGTTCTGCTATACTCTTCAATTTCTATAGCCATCTCCTTAATTTTTTTTTTGCACATCAATTTTTACTTTTTTTTCAATTTCCAGATTGTTTTTTCACTTTTCTCGTTCTGCTCTCAATTTTCACTTTTTTCAAATTTCAATTTCCAGATTTTAATTTCCTCTGCATATTACAATTTGCACTTTTTTCAGTTTCCAAACTTTCTTTCACTTTTTTTTCAATTTTCGTTTTTTTTGTTTCCCTTTTTTTCAGTTTTCATTTCTCATCTTTTTTTCTGTTTTTTTGGTTTCATGTCCATTGGTGCCGAAATAGGTGGAAACGATGGCTATTAAGGAGGCGCTCTCATGGCTCAAGGAGAAGAATATCCAAGAAGTCTTGATTTTTTCAGATTGTGCTCAAGCGGTTCAGGCCTTGAAGAATGGTGTGTCAGGTGCTCGGTCGTATCTAAGTGCGTTGGAGGACGAATGCAAGAATCTTACATATTGTTTTCGTTTTGTTAATTTTTGTTATATCCCTAGACTGTCAAATTTGATTGCACACACCCTTGCTAGATTGGCAATTAACGGGTGCCATGAATGGTGGAATGATTCCCCGCATGATGTACTGCATTATCTTTAATTAATGGAAAGTTTGAGTTTCAAAAATAAAACTACTTACCTCCAATTACCTACCATTATCTATCTAATAAAATTTTTACCTACCTCCAACCAAACATACCTTACTCTTTCCCTGTGAGTGACCGTGCATACAAATTACGGTACATTTCGTAGCATGGGTAAAATTTTGTTGTTTTTGTTTTTTTTTTGTTGTTGTTACTTGTAGTTAAATTTTATGTACTTTTTTTCTAGACAAAATCTTGTAGATGTTCATGTATTATTTAAAAATGTCTAAACTAGTCTTTGTACATAAAACTAAAACAATCTAGTCCACGTACTATTTTTTGTTCAATCCGGTCATTATCTTCACTTCTCTATTTTTTGCTATAAATTCTTATCGATAAATTCAAATTTTAGTATAGATTACAAGAAAATATTGTTTTGCATAATTATTCAATTCTAAGCTAATTTTAGTCATTATATACAAAATAAATTTTTTAATAGAATAAATAAATAAATGTATATTGTTCTTGGTAAAAAATCTTTTTTTTAAATAAACATGAATTAACATGTCAAGACAACAGTTTCATGTCATCTATAGTAAAATCAGGCTCGCTAAGAACTTAGGGCAATAAATAAGAGAAAAATGAAAAGAATGATACTCCCTCTGTCCCAGAGTATTTGTTCACTTTCATTTTTACACATCATCCAATACACTTCTTTAATTCATTTTATCTTGTAATTTGTATATTAAAAAATTATAGAAATTATATATTAATAATCTATATGTTAAGACAAATCAAACAAGATCACACATGACTATATTTAGGCTTACACATTGAGAGAATTTGATGAGTCAAAGTGCTTAGATGAACAATTCCAAAAGTCAAAACTGAACGAATATAGCGGGACGGAGGTAGTAATACATTACATTGTTTTGATTTTGAATACATGTACTAATTTAAACATTTTTAAATAGTACGGAGAGCTCTACATTACTTTGTCCAACATTTTTTTACTACTTTCGAATCATATCTTTCCAGACATATTTTTTTATTACTCCAATCCAAAAATGATCTTCCTAGTCACTATTTACATAGCCAAACTTTATTCACGTTCATTACTTATTTTTATTAGTTATTTAATAAAATAATATAGTCATCTAATCTTTCGTTTTGTAAAACTTTAATGTAATTTTGAAATACATAACTTATATTTTTTAATTTTACACTTATAATTAAATAAATTAAATTTAATTGAGAAGATCATTTTAGAACGAAGAGAGTAATTATTATGACCTTTCGATAACTTATGTTGGTATGTATATTTTCAATGATCATTTCACAAATAAAATATTCTTTTTACATCTTGTTTTGTAAAATTTTTGAGCGATGTGAGTTGTATTTTTTATTTCTATACTAATTTATAAACAAAATTAATTTAAAAGAAATAAAATTTAACATAATGTTTCAAACAAGATGAAAGATATGAGACAAAGAAAGTACTCCCTTCGTCCCATTTTAAATTGCCTATTTGTCTTTTTTCTCCGTTCCAAAATAAGTTGCATGTTAGTTGTTTTCGTAAACTTTTAAAAATAAAATACCTAAATTACACCTAAAATAAGTCACTCTTTTTCACCTTATCTTCTCATTCATCATCACCCCTTCTAAAAAGTAATGGCAATTTCGAAAAATCAACTATATTTTTAATTTTATTTAAATATGCCCAAAAATCAAAACAGGCAACTTAAATTGGGACGGAGGGAGTAATTTTTATTCATTACATGGTAAATTCGTACGAAAGCCTTCAGAAAAAATCTTACGACTTCTTGGACTTATTTGAAAATAACTTTAGAGATTAGCGTAAACATTTTGAATAAAATTTCGACGATGCAGATTACATCAAAAGCACTAGCGCTAAAAGCTACCTGTAAATAGCCTTTTCAATACGCTAACGCTAATCTCTAATGTTCTTCTCAAATAAGCCCGTTATAAATTAGCAAATAAATAACTGATTTCTAATTTTATACGGTACTGTACTTGATAAGAACAAGGTATAAATCTGTGTTCTCAGGAAAACATAACCCAAAATGAAGACTTTTATAGCTAGGTAAAATTAACACGAAAGAGTGGATGAATAAAATGTTCTTCAAACTATGAGGAAAATTTTCCAAGGTACAGAAAGAAGACCATATATATATATATATATATATATATATATATATATATATATATATATATATATATATATATATATATATATAAAGTTCACCAGAGGGAAAAGGATGAAATTGTAATGGATAGGCGTGGGTTAACATTATTAAATGGCACAAAGAACAGAAGGCTTAATAATGAAAGCCAAATGGTTAAACATATGTTCTTTTATGTCTTGCTTCTTTAGTATGGAGTGTATGGGGATGGTCTCCTGAACCTAGGCACCTTCCTGCAAAATTACGATATGAAACCGGAGATTTAAAAAAAACAAAAAGAAATCCTCTCATTGTCCCAAAATAAAAGATACAGAGGATGTTATGCCCTGGTATTTGTTGGCCCCATTTGGCATCGGCGTTACAGCGTATTGAAAAGGCTATCTGACGGTAGCGTTTAGCATTAGTGTTTTCAGAATAAATCTACACCATTAAAATTTGATCCAAAACGCTAACGCTAGGCGAAAACCTTATTCCCAAACAAGACCATTGACTTATTGCTTATTAGCAGTTTTTAACTTACAAGCTGTTTATAAGTTAAATATTTTTTCGTGAAAATAAAATGACTTAGATGATAGATAAGTTGTTTGGGAATAATTCATAAATGGTAAGAAATACTTTTGTAAATAATCTGGTCAAAATGGAATTTCGGAAAAACTAGCTTATTAATAAGTACGTAAGACCTACTTACTTTTTCTGACTTCTACGCAACTTATAAGCACAGAGAAATATGTCATTAGTTGACTTAAAAGTTAGTAAAAACAAATTATAAGCCATTTGGACCAGATTATAAGCACATAGAAACACCCATTACATCTTATAGAATTGGAGTAGAGACTAATGGAGAAAAAATGCTTACCCATATCCATAAGGGGGGTAGAAGTATGGAGCAGGTACATAAGGCCTCCTAAACCTGTATCCCCCCATATAAGGATTGAATCGTCTTCCTCGAAATTGTTTCATTCCGGGAACATTGGTTCTCTTGGGCATGACCTGCAGGTATTTAGTTGGTCAGCAGTCAAAGCAGACACATAATGGGATCATTAAGATGGCCACATAACAAACGTTCAGAGCATATTAGTGTGTGGGCGGGTGGTGGTGGGGATAAAGACTGTATTTGGACTAGATAAAGAGCTTGTAACGGAGGTGAAAGGAGAGAATTCTAAAAAGGATTATGGTATTCTCGTGTTTGGATTACAAATGAAATAGAGATGCTCCATACTAGCAAATATGAGTTGTATTTCAAAAGTTTTATTTATTGTAAAAAAATTACTGGTTTTTCATAACCTAGAGGTACAGTCATGTAATTTTCAAAATAACAAAAATTGTTCAACATTATAACTTTAGCTAATTGAAAAACTTACAAGTATAACTGTATATGTAGGATTACATGACATTTAAGACATGTACCTTCATCAAAAGTAGAACTTTACACTTTAACAGAATATGACCCTTGTTTTTGGGTGTGGAGTATAATTATAAAAGATGGTGATTTTGAAGGGAGTGGAGTGAATTCTTCTCTTTATTCATTCATTTGACTCACGTTTTGCAGAGAGAGAGAGAGAGAGAGAGGGTATCTCCTCACTTCATCCATTTCCCTCAATGCCAAAAACCATAAAAGACCTACACCTCCCTTCAGTTGGTTTGCCATTTCGGGGAGTTGTAGGGCCCTAGGGGTGGGACTTAACAGAGTTTACAGGACAAAGTGTACCTTCAACTGACGTGCATGCAGCTCAGATTCATTCAACTGAAGTGCCTCCTGAACGGCTTCTTGCTCAAGAAACTCCACATATGCAAAGCCTTTAGGCTGACCAAACTTATCCGTCAGAATAGTAACTCGATTCACGGTACCGCATGTCTGGAAGTGCTGCTGAACTTCCTCCGGTGTGCACGCATAATCAACCTGTTCAGCCAAATTTAGAAAAAAATTAGGCGAAAACAAGAAAAGGAAGCCGTATTCGCAAACATGTGACATAGCTCACGAAACAGAAATTAACTTCCAAGATCCAAAACAGGAATCGTGAAGACGACAAATAACCAGAAGATAAATACCCCCCATGTCCCAACAAAAGAGTCCACATATGACTCGGCATGGAGATTAAAAAAGTGGTAGATGTGGTTGACTATACAATACTACCCTCATTTGAATGGAGAAAGGAGGTCGAGCAGTGGTGGAAATAAAGGGTAAATAGTGAAAAAGTCAAGGGAATAAAAGAGAAAAGAGCTTATAAAGATTCGATTTTGTGGAAAAATGAAGCTTTTTTTGGCACGTCCTAAAAAGAAAATGAGGACTCCTTTTTGGGTTGGAGGGAGCATAAAAGAATCTCTCTTTACTCAGTTCTGCTAGTGGCAATGAGGAATACCAAATCAACAGTGTGAAGTAATCTTCGGTACCATCCACGTATTTCATCAGGAAAGGTTACATGCATTCCCCCAAACATGCCAAGGCCAACTTACCATAGAACACCCCCCCCCC